AGTAGCACGAGTAGCACGAGTAGTAGTAGTAGTAGTAGTAGTAGTAGTAGTAGCAGTAGCAGTAGCAGTGGCAGTAGCAGTAGTAGTAGTAGTAGTAGTAGTAGTAGTAGTAGTAGGGGTAGTAGGGGTAGTAGTGGCAGTGGTAGTAGTGGTGGTAGTAGTAGTAGTAGCAGTAGTAGTAGTAGTAGTAGTAGTAGGAGGACTAAATTCCGCAACGTATTTCTTGCAGAAAGCTGTAAAGGGACCCTATTGCAATCATTAAGGTCGCAGATTCGGATCCTCCCGTCAACCCGGCGCACCTGGCGGTTGTTGATCGCCTCCAGTACCCTCTGCACGAGGGCCGTGCCCGCGCGCAAGGCCCGGATCTCCTTTGGGTCTAGTGTTTGGGGCTTTGAGGGCTTTTGGGTTTCAGGGCTAGGGTTTCATGCTTTAGGTTTCTATAGGCTGATCTAGGGTTTTTTTGCAGGGCTTGTTGAGAGGGTTTGACAAGCTTTCTCAAAGGCTATGTAGAGACGGGAACGATTGCTTTGTCTGGTTTTAAGAGGTGTCATAAGGCAAACCCTAAACCCTAAACCCTAAACCCTAAACCCTGGTGTGGTCTTTGACAGAAATGTCCAGGACGTTCTGGAGGAGTCCTGTGGTCTATGAAAGTGCTAGCAGGATTCTATGAACGCTAAAATCTGCACCGCGGAACCCTAAGCAACTGTAGCATTGCCAATAGTTCAGTGGTCCATGCTGCGGGTTTAGGATTTAGGGCTTAGGGTTTAGGGCAGCTCAGCAACCTACTTCCGGGAAGCCACGTAATCCAATAAGATTGTAGGCAGTCTAGCCAGCTACCCAGGGCAAGAAATACTTCGAAAACTATACTTGCATTACCTACAACCCAAGTAGCCAAACGTGAAACCTAAACCAACATGAACCTACACACACACACACAAAGAACGTAAGTTGTGAAGGAATTAACTGTGATGTAGGGGCTTGAATAATTAGAACAGGGTTTTGGGATATATTATACTATAGTTATAATAAGGAACCACCCCAAAATAGTACAGGGTAATTAGTAAGGCCCCTGTTTTACTTAACCTAAGAAACCAATAACACGGCAACCATATCTCCGAACCCGAAACCCTGAACCCTAAACGAAGACCTCTCAATGGTTCAGCTCTAAACCCCCAAACCCCTAGGGTTTAGGGTCTAGGGTTTAGGGTAACTAAAGCCGACACCAAAAGAAACACGACCAACACAACAAACAAAATCCGAACACTAAACGGCCCTAAATATCTGTAGCCACCCTGAAGCCCCTTACATGATACAAGGGCACGGTATATTTGGGATCCTCCCACCCACAAACCCTAAACCCTAAACCCTAAACCCTAAACCCATTTTGGGAGCCCTTGGCTTCGAATCTCGACCGGGTCGCTCGTGCCAAGACCTCAGGCCCATAGTCGCCTCAAGATCCACGGTTTTGGGTTTAGGGTTTTGGGTTTTGGGTTTAGGGTTTAGGGTTGAGGGTTTAGGGTTGAGGGTTTAGGGTTGAGGGTTTAGGGTTTAGGGTTTAGGGTTTAGGGTTAGTCTCTAATATAGGGGCCTTAACGATTAGAATAGGGTTTTGGGGTCCTTTATAGTATAGTCATACTAAGGAGTCCCCAAAATAGCGTAAGTGATTTTTGAGGGCCCTATGTTGATCCTTTGGGATTTTCGGGCTTGGGCTCTGCGGGGTTCTAAAACGAAGGGTGTTTATGAGAATCCTACCAAGGTTTCCGAAAGTGTGGTTTAGGTTTTCTTGGGTCTAGTTACTGCTGTAGTCTTCGGATGTAGGGTTTGGGTTTCAACGTTTAGGGCGCTGGGTTTGCGATTTAGGGATGGGGTTTGGGGTTTAGGGCCCTAAACCCTAAACCCTAAACCCTAAACCGTTTATAGGGCTTAGGATGCAGGGTTCAGGTTTCGGGCTTGGGGATCAGGGCATCGGGTTTTAATTTAGGCTCCACACCAGTGTGAGGTTTAGATAAGTAGAAACGAAGGCATTAACATTAGGGCTTTGGGGATAGGGGATTATGGTTGATTCTACTCTTCCGTGAAAGTAAGCAAACGAACGTTCGCATTTTTTGGGGGGTATTCCCCTTAAGACAAAGAACAAAACCGAACAACCAAAACTAAACACTATCCTAAGTAGAGCAACTCAAGGGCGTGTGCGCCCATACTTCTGGGAACAAAACAACATCTCGAGGATCTAAAGACTAGGGTTCGGCCATAGAGCGGCAAGCTCTTAGAAAATTCAGATTCCCATCGTCCTGATTCAGATGCGCCAGATAGGTGGCCTGCCGGTTAACCATGTTGGAGACCTGGACGTTGCTCAAACAGACCTGCAATGCAGGCACCACCGCACCATCAAGCCGCGCCTCTGCATTGAGTTTGCACAGCCAATCTCTGCAAAAAAACGACGCGGATGACAGCGCGCCCGTGCAAAATTACGGCTCTGTGAGAATGTCTGACACACTTGTCGCTGGGTGTCATCGGCGGAAATGGGATGAATCGTGCTGGTTTGTCATCGGCGGAAATGGGATGAATCGTGCTGGTTTTTCCCAAGCAACGTCAGTGACTCACCGTCTAGCCATGCACTCACATTCATGACGCCCTCAAGTTCAGCCATAGGTTTTATATGGGGGGGGTTATTCAGGGGCAATCTTTGAGGTTTCGAAGTACGGGCAAGCTTTTCCGTCTAGGGGGAGTACTATAGGGATCGATTCCATCTAACCTATAGCTAGACCCCTGACCCATCCTGAATCCCTATAATTGAGGAGGTGAGGACGACGAAAAACCCAACTTAATGGCGGCTACTGTATTGCTAGCTTAACTTGTGAAAGCAGCCCCATCTCCCGAAGCTGAGTGGTGTCGGTGTTGAGGGTTCAGGGTTGTGGGTGTGCCGGTGGGTGTTGAGTGTGGGGAGTTTTAAAGCTGAGTGTTCAGAGTTTGAGTTCAGGCCAAACGTTGTTTTTAGGGGTCATACTTACAAAGCTGTCTCCAAGACTAAACTACTGACTACGTACAGCCTGAATCTCTAGAGCCTTGCACCGGAGCTCTAACACTGGACCTGAAGCTGTCTTCTAAGGAAAAACGTCAAGCGACGAGCCCTGACTCTGTGAAACCCCCATGGACCCACTTGTCAAGGGCCACATGGCCGAATGAAAGTTTCATAGGCTGCTGGTGTTTAGGGTTTAGGGTTTAGGGTTTAGGGTTTGGGTTTCAGGATTGTGGGTATAAGGGAATAGCCAACGCCTTACATAATGCGGCTTCGTCAACCCCGAACACGAGCAAGCCGATGGGGCTGGGCTACACCCCTAAGCTCTACACCTCAAATGCTTAAACCTGTAGAGTTCGGAACTTTTAGTGATAGTGTACCCTCAGAGCCCCCAGAAACACTAGTGTACTGGTAATACTTTGATATATCCCAAACGTCTGTTCCGATAAAGGAGGAATCATAAGAAAAAGCACTTAGAGAACCTTACTTACAAACCCGTCAAAAGAATCAACCTCAAAGAAACCCCTTGCAAACTCCTGCGCGCGCGTTGCAAAACAAGTATCCCAGCAACAACTTAAAGCCCTACCCCTTCAAACCCTAAACCCCAAATCCTAAACCCTGTAAACGCAAAACCCTAGAAACTTCCCCTAATCCTAACCCCCCCTACACCCTAAACCCCCCCCCCTGTAACACCCCAAAAGGCTTGAAAGGAGTCCTCTAAGCCTACCCGGGGCTGCCTCGGCAGTACTTCTCCTCGAAGAGAACCCGGTGCCAAGAAGGGATCTAAGCAATGAGATCGAAGGCTGAAGGCTCGAGGAAAAAGGAAACTACAGGTGGGGAGTTTAGGGTTTTAGGGTTTAGGGTTTTAGGGTTTAGGGCTTTGAGGTTTAGGGTTTAGTTAAAGAAAGCTACAGGAGGGGAGTTTAGGGTATATAATAGGGCTTCTATACGGCGTCTAGAAGGTATATAAACCTTCTATAAGGCTCCTATAACGGTAACTGCCCACCTGAAAATGTCCTAGACTAGAGGACTTCGAGCTTTCGGGGCTTGGGCTCCGGGTTTCGGGATGCACGGCTTCACGGTTTAGGCTATGGGGTAGGGTTTAGGGTTTAGGGTTTAGGGTTTAGGGTTTAGGGTTTAGGGTTTAGGGTTTAGGGTTCAGGGCGTTGGGGCTTGGCGGGTTTGGGCGGATTCATGGGGTTCAGGTGTGAGATGTTACCGTTCCACTACAGGTGGGGAATTTAGGGCATATAGGGCTTCTATAAGGCTTCCATAAGGTATATAGACCTTCTGTAAGGCTCCTATAACGGTAACTACCCACCTGAAAATATCCTAGATTCCAGTCTTGGGGTTTCGGAGCTCAGCTGAATGCCTGAAATTGTGGGCTCAAGCACCTCGCGGTGTACCAGCCTTGGGTTGGGCTTGATAATCGCGGTAGCATAGTGCTTTGTGGATTCAGCTTGTTGACCAAAGGGGGCTGCAGAGTGTCGAACGAAGGGATGACAAGTTGTAGGGTCTAAAGTCCAGGGGTGATAAGCATTTGCGGCTTTAAGGCTTAATAATTAGAATAGGTTTTTGGGCCCCTTTACAGTGTAGGGGTTTAGGGTATAGGAGGGTTTAGGGCATACTATACAAAGGCCAACGCCACTAGGTTCAACGAGCCATCCTACTCCTTCTACTCCTTGCAGAGGTTCCCCAAGCAATGAATCGTAAACCCGAACCCCTGTACCGTGAACCTTGAACTCGAAACCCTGAACCTTTATCCCTAAACCCGAAACTCTAAACCCTTGTCCCTAAACTCTCAACTCAATCCCTAAACCCTAAACCCTGAACCCTTATTTATCCCTAAACCCTCAACTCAACCCCTAAACCCTAAACCCTAAACCCTTATCCCTAAACCCTAAACCCTCAATTTAACCCCTAAACCCTAAACCCTTATCCCTAAACCCTCAACTCAACCCATAAACCCTCAACCCTTATCCCTAAACCCTCAACTCAAGAACCCCAAAAAAAGCAACAAATCCATACCCAAAGAGCCACCGCCAAGTGACTCGCAGTTCATCCCAAAGCTCTCCCAGTCCTTCAGCTGCAGGATCAGGGGCTTACGAAACTTGCTTTTTTAGGGGTTTAGGGTTTAGGGTTTTCCGGTTAGGGCTTTGGGTTTGGGGTTTATGGTTTTCCCGTTAGGATTTAGGTTTAGGGGTTTCCGGTTTGGGTTCAGGGTTCAGGGTTTTGAGTTGAGGGTTTTCCGGTTAGGGCTTTGGGTTTGGGGTTTTCCGGTTAGGGTTTAGGGTTTGCTAAGTTCCACAGGCACTTCCTCAGCTCCATGAGAGCTGCCTGGTGCACAAGTTGGGAGTTCGGATGATTAGGGGGACCCTTGGGGATATAGACCCTCTCAACAAGCAGAGCCAGAAGTAGGGTTCAGAAGGGTCCACTTTAAGGGGCCTCCCTAATACTACCTAGGACAAGTACCTCCTCCTCACGACGCCATGTCCGTCTGATGCAAAGGTCCCTGGTTGGAGCTGTAAGGCTCCAAGAGTTCATCTAGGTGCCCCAGTAGCCCCTAAATAAGAAGGGTACCCTTCTTCCTGCTATTTGGTTTTATTAAGGGAACCCAATAAGAAAAAAGGTGCCCAAAAAGGGCTTAAGGTTCATATACCATATAGGGATCCATAGTATAAGGGTGTAGGGCCCCTACTTTTAAGGTTCTTCTCGTCCTTATGGCAGAGTTCAAGGTTTGAGGATGAAGGACTAGGAGTTCAGGATCCGAGTTGTCATGTTTCAGGGCTCAAAAGCTCTTCTGCACTTAAGGTAGGGGCCTAAATAATCTTAGAACAGGGTTTTGGGGGTTTCTTTCTAGTATAATAGACCCCAAAACCTCTTATTTCTAACTATGAAGGCCCCAAAAACCCTAAACCCTAAACCCTAAACCCTAAACCCTAAACCCTTGACCCTGAACCCTAAACCCTAAACCCGATGTTGAGGAACTCTTCGGGCCTTTATGGTTGAAACCACCGACAGAGCCCGGGATCCTCTACTATTGGGGGCCTTAATATATATATATATATGTGTATTTTATTTTTTTTTTTGGGGGGGGGGGTCCTTAATATGTCTGTATAGTATATTATTCATTGGAATCTTTAAGGCCCCTACATGAGCTGGAAAATAGTGTCCCTTTGTAGTCCTTATGTGTACATGTGTGTATATGTCTATGCCAGTCGGACCATCCGTCGGTGTGTCTGTTTGGCTTGCGTGGCCAGGTGCATCTCCCTGTGAAAGACGGAGATCCCTTGACCACAGACCATGCTAGCCCAGCAACCGCAAGGCTTGCTTGTCGCGGAGCGTCGCCTGATGCTTGCTGTCGTGGTAGTGGTCCCTTTCACACGCAGCATGGACCTCGGCGCTCCGATGCAACAGTTGAAGCTGCGACTGCTCTGGATGGTTTGCGTGAAGCAGCCCAGAGGACCGCGTTGAGCGCTGGAGTTGTCGTTGACCTCCTCGGGGGCTACGCTGGGGCGCGAGCTCGCCTTCTGCCAAGCCGCAGTATCGCCCCTGCGGCCCTGGCGTTGCGCAGAAGTTCAACCGTGATCTGAATAGCTATCGCCTGGAAGACGTGATCTCCATGTTCGCTGTGTGGTCCTTCAGAACACAGTGGTCGGATCCGGTTTCGGTTGCTTGCCAGCTTTCCGCTTCTGTTTCGATATGGTGTTACTGAAGAACGTGGAGAAACGACACGCTGCTTCGAGGAAACGGATGTGGCCGGTCTCTGCAAGATGTTCCCATCCGTTGAGCGTGGTTTATGGTTTAAGGTTTTTTTAGGGTTTAGGGTTTATGCTTCCGCAAATTGTGGCTTCAATGCAGGCCTACTGCTATGTAGCACGTTTGTGTGCGGAGTGACACCCTTTGCTTTGATGCTCACACGATCGACTCCGATCATCTTCTTAGGCCGATCACTTCGAAACTTACATATTCCGTGGCCATTTTGGCATAATTAAGACTCGAACTCCGGATTTTCTTCTCCCGCACACTCTAACTTGGTTGTCCATGATTTTCGTTTGCTCTCTGTCTGCGAGAACCGACCGGGGAACGCTTGATCTTGCGAAGCACATGTGTATAGGAAGTGCGAGATATCTGATACAGCATAATCGTGGCCCTCCACACTTTGGCCAAGGCTTAGGTGCTGGGAACCTCTATCTGCATCCGAAACCCTGCGAATGCAAGAGCTTGAGTGTCTAGGAAGTGCGATGTGAGTTCCTTTCCCAGATGTTCCCTTATACAGGGCTTGCTCAAGATTGCAAGAACTCCACCCCAGGCATGATGGATTGCAGGCAGCAGCCACTGCCTCGGAACTGCAGGCTGCAGCACCCGCAGGAACGTCAGACTAGCTCGGTACGGATTATTGTAGTAATAGTCATGCGAAGCCATGATGCCACATATGCGCGGACATGTGGCGCAGGTCATGGACCCCCTGCAGCTCCGATCTGTGGGCCCAAAAACAAGCCGAGGACGGCAGCTCATGTGCCCAAACACACGAGAGGAGACATGGCTGGCCCGTATTTCTTTCGCTTGTTGACCGCATGCCATTCAATTGGATCTGAACAAGTATCGACACTGAGGTCTCTGGATCGTGTGACTGCCGAGCTCCGTAATCTCCAGTCCCCGGAGCTCAACAAAAGTGAGTCCGCGGCTGGCTCTGCAAGGTCGAACATGTTTTCTGAACTTTTCTCGGGTCGAACCTCAGCAACTGGCGAGGGCAACAGCAGCCAGCGTTGAAGGCATGCTTCAAGGACTTCCGCGGGTCCACAAGTTACGATCGCGATCACCAGCGAAAGCGCTCACTCATCGAGTCGCCAAGGAAATATTTAGCCTCGTCACTGCAATGCTGTGGTGGGGGACCTCGTCCGGATCTGCATTACCGTCCTGCTTGGGAAACAGCCAGCGGCGGGGCTCATGCAGTCTCGAGGCATTGGGCCCCTGCTTCGGAAGCCCTGCTGTGCCATGTTTCTGGATTCGTTTAAAGTACCGTTGGGATGCGTATATTCGAGTCCTGAATATAAAGCAAACCCCCAGGCTGCAGAGGCTGCAGAGGCCCCCTGCGGCAAGCCCCCAAATCTTGCGGAGCAGCCGAATGCAGTCGAGCCCCTCAAATTCTTATTTTGGTGGTTTTGCGTTCGTATATGGCAAAGCCTTATAAAGCCCCTACCAAAGCTGTCATTAGGGCTGTATTCGGCCCTTATGAGGCACCCCAGAATCCCCAAAATAAGAAGTTGACACCCTCAAAGTTTAAAATTTAAGAAATCGAGCCCTTCAATTTCATATTTGGGTGATTAATTTTCAATTTTCGTATGTGGCAATGCTTTCAGCCCTCCAAAGCGGTTATTGGGTGATTAAGGCCTTGAGCCCCCGCCCAGCTTTTGGTTCCATCCAGCCCTAGGAACAGCTTTGGATGGCTTTCAAGGCTCGGCAAGGGGCTCAAGAAAGGCTGTATAAGGGCTTTTGAAAGCTCTGTCAAACGCAAAGTCCGTTGGCAAAAGGCAGACCCGCTCAGCTTGTGGAATACCAAATCTAGTCCCTTAGTTTCTTGGCTGTATTGGCGCAAACAAAGCCAGCGAAGACAAAATGAGAAGAGTAATGTAAGAAGTTGACACGCCGAGGTTTCAATTTGTGTGGTTTGTATATTTGTTTTTGTGGGCTGTCCGAGGGGCTCAATGTCTTAAACCAATGATTTCTTAAGCAGTGCTGTTGCTATACACTCCGCCCTACCCTCGAGCCCCCAGAGCCCTCTGTAATCCTAAGTTGCCAACCCTCCAAACCCAAAAATTCGACTCAGACGGGTTCCTCGTTGAGTTGAGGGACATTCGCAGCGTAAATGGGAGATACGGTACATCTTATCGCATGCTTTAGCTGGCACCAGGTAGGTTTAAACCCTAGACCCCTAAAGCCCTGACCCCTAAACCCTAAACCCTTTATTAAATCCCTATCGGCACTAATTCCTAAGCCCCGAAGCCCAGGATTGGGTAACTCCTGCAGAGGGCACCTGCATCTTGAAGTGCCGTGGTTTCGATACCAAGGGACGGAGCCAGGCCGCTTGGAAGATCCTGGAGTGTGGGGCTTCAGGTGTTTAGGGGTTTTGGGTTTAGGGTTTTCGGGCTTTAGGGGTTTAAGTTTTAGGGTTTAGGGGTTTGCGTCTTTTGGGCTTTAGGGGTTTAGGGTTTGCCAGAGCATGTGGTGCTCTTCGTGTTTGGGGCGAGGGATTTGACTGGGAGATGATAAAAAGTTCCAAGAACTGCAGCTTAGGGTTTCGAGCCAACATTTCCCTTGGAGAATGCCCGAAACCTTATGCCAAAATCAGCATTATTTGTTATGTGTTTGCTATTCCTGTTATATGCTGTTAAACACTCGTATATGCTTATGACTTCGGTTAAAGCTCAAACGACTCACTCTTCGGGCAAGTAAATGCCCCTGAACTGCAACTGAGGACGAGCCTGGCGACGATGATTTCAACTGGACGGGCATGGGAGACACGCAGCCCCAGATGGTGAACCATGGCACTAGAAGGCTCTCGCTCTTTGTCTCTTTCGCTCTTCTTCTCTGTGTGTTGTCTGTCTGTCTGTTTGTCTGGCTCGCTTTCTCTGTCTCTCTCCCTCTCTCGCTGTATACAGGTATATACTTCACGTAAATTTCTAGCTCATTTGATTCATCACGTATGGTTTGGTCTTTTGCAGGCGCATTTGTTCGGAAGACTTCATCCTTAATGTAAGGATATGAATACTTAGGAATACCTTCATTTAGGCCCAAAAACGACTTGGGGACCAGTCCGGACGGGACGGCAGAAGTGAGGCGCCTGGTTAAATAGAGGAACCTCCAATGCACAAGTAGTCTTGAAGCTTATGGTTTAGGGTTTAGGGTTAAGTAAAGGAGCCTCCACTGCACAAATATTTTTGAAGCTTATCAGCTCGAGTAAGATGAAGAAAGTCCAACTCTGAGTAGTCCCAAAATCTGGCTGTCTCAGACCAACCAAGACTAATCTGGTTTCAGGAGTTGAGCACAGAAAACAACACAGACGCATGCACTCACAAGGCTTTCCGAAGTCTTCTCGTCTTTGCGAGGGAACCGCAGAGCAAAGCTTCAAAGCATCGATGGTCCCGCAGCCTGCAGCTCTGAGCCAACCCTGGAGCCTACTGCCCAACCTCCGAATTTCAAGTGTGAACCCCCAAAAGCGCAACCCCGAAACCCGAACTCCAAAAACAAACCCATAAATCATGAGCACCCTCCCTCAGCCTCACATCCCAAACAGCAACAGGAACCATCCCCAAACCCGAAACCCTATACCCCTATAGGCCCTAAACCCGAAAACCCAAACCCCGAACCCCACGCGCCTAAAACCCGAATCCCAAACCGTAAACCTTGTACCCCTGAGCCCTAGACCCCATACTCCCAAACCCTGAAACCCCTCCAAAGCAGCCGAGGTACGTCCGCATCGATCCTGCTGTTGAAGCTGTGGGTTCCCAGCACCTTAGCTGAGCTTTATAATATAGGAGCCTTAATGATTAGAATAGGGTTTTGGGGTATGTTATACTATAATTCGAATAAGGAGCCCCCCCCGGAGCCCTATTCTAATTATGAAGGCCCCTACATTATGCTCAAAGCGTCTAAGGTTCCTTTAAGGGATCCTTCAAGGGTCCCTAGGAGGGTTCCTTCGTAAGGGATCTGTAAGGATACTATCCCAAAGGGTCATAGGTACTGTTATGGGGGATACTTCCCTAAATCATGATCGTAATTCCTGATATGAAACTGATATAGGTACATAGGAACCTTTGGGACTGGGTTTATTCCCAGATGTTCCTATTTCTAAACAGCAATAGGCTTTAAAGCATGTTAGAGGCCGTACTATATTTTGAAGCATGTTCCTTAGTTTCAGGGATGTTTGAAAGATCGGGGTTTATAGGGGCTTCTAGGGTTTACTTGTTTTTGGGTTTATGATTGAGGGATCGGGTTTATAGGGTTGAAACCCCAGATCTTCCAATAGACTTAAAACGCTAGGATTCCTTCTTTGATCTCAGTAAGGGAGACTGGAAGACCTGGCGGTTCTACAGTAGTATTTTGTGGTTTTATAAGGCTTGTATGACCGCAAAGTACATGTTAGAGGGTGATTTCTGTATGGGATCGACTTTGGCCTTATAGGGGTTCCTACCCAGATTTACCAATATCCCTTGATTGAGGAATGAACATTCAACTATACTAGGATCCACTGTAGAGGGGCCGGAATGATTCGTACCATCATCCCTTTATTATAGTTTTTCCCTATATAGTAATGCTGTAAATTCCTCCGCACTTCTCATCGCTAAGGGCATTTCTATTGCGTGTAAGGTTCGGTGTTACGGGGTTTTCGAGCGAGTGAGGTTTCAGGACTTGAAGCCTACCATTGAGTCCCATATTCGTTAATTTCGTCAAGTTGGCCTGGGGTTTCGGTTTGCTAGAGTAACCCTCTAACTCAAATCCTGGTTCGCTCCAAGCCAAATTAGCCCCTAAACCCTGGGCTTTAAAGCCTTTCTTCCTAAATCATAAACCCTACACCCTAAACCCTAAGCCCTAAGCCTTAAGCTCGGGATCAACCTAAATTCCAAGCCCCTAGACCAGCCCCAAGCTCGAAGCCCTAAACCCTAAACCCCAAACTCTAAACCCTAAACCCTCAACTCTACACCCTAAACTCTAAACCCTAAACCCTAAACTCAGGATCAATTTGATTCCAGAGACCCGGGCTTCGAAAAGCGCCCTGAACGTTGCCACGGCCGACGGGGCAGCGCTGGAGGCTTCGGGTTTGGGGCTTAGGGTTTAGGGCTTCAGGGATTTAGGGTTTCGGGCTTTAGGGTTTAGGGTTTATACAGAGTTTTTTTCAGCGTGGAGGTTGCGGGGTGTCTAGTGTTTGGGGTTTAGGGATTGAGGGTTTGGTGGGTGTGATGAGGGTTTAGTTGCGTTCCTAGTTTTACGATTACCTAAGGCTTCTTGAAGTTTTAGTAGATCTGCAACACTATCAATACTAGTAACAATAATCATAATTATAGCAATAATAATGATCTAAAATAACAATAGTAATGCAAGGGCCTTGGCAATGATCGCCTAAGTGCTGAAGCCTCGGGTTGGAGCTCTGACATAGGTGCGTGGGGTTCAGAGGAAAGTTGCGGGTTAGGGTTTAGGTTTTAGGGTGTAGGGTTCAGGGTTTAGGTTTTGGTTTAGGGTTTAGTGTTCAGGGTTTCGGGTTGAGGGTTCAGTTCAGGGTCAGGGTTTAGGGTTTCGGGTGGATGCAAAACCCTGAAACCCGGAAGCACGGCGTCGGGTTCCCGATTGCCGGTAATGAGTCCCTGTTCAGGTTCAGAGTCCTTGATTGACGGTTCGTGGAGTCATTTTGGGATGCAGGGGTCGTCCGGGCTTGCAGGATTTTGTGGATTTGGAGCTTTGGCCTTAGGCGGGGAAGCCAAAACACGGACATTTCATCCTAAGAAATAGAAAAAACAGAGACCGCTCCATCTCCTGGAACGCTGAGTAGTGAGGGAGCACAGGGAAAGAACTGCAAAGTGTCCCTCGGCATAGAAACGGAAACTGCTTCACTTGTAAGTGTAGCCTCGGCACCCTAACCCTAGTCCTAAACCCTAAACTCGGAGCCCAACACCCTAAACCCTAAAATGCTAAGGTTTAACAGACCTATCCCTCCTCCTCACAACCAGCCCTGCTTCCTCGGAACAGTCTGCAGGCCGAATTGGTTGATGCCTTGCACTTGGGACCGCTCAATCGGTTTAGGCTTTGGGGTTTCGGGTTTGGGGGACAGTTAGAATGACACAAGATCAAGATTCAGGAGACATTTTCTTTCGTTGTCTGTAGAAGCTCAAAGACCGACAGAGACAAATGTAGGCACAACCACAAACACACGAAACACCCAAACATCCCAAGCCACAAGACAAAACCACATCGTCAACACCACACCAACACCAAGAATAATACGAATAATAACACTACGAAGAAGATTGTCGAAATCAACGAGAAGATCACCACCGCACCCACCACCCACCACCCATCACCCACCACCCACCACCACCGCCGCCGCTCACCACACCCCACACCACCATACCCCACACGCCACACACCAACACCAAGACCGACGTGCTCATCATCAGCATTATCATCTTCATCATCATAATCATCGTCATCTTCATCGTCATCACCATCATCAAATTCATCATCTTCATCATCATTGGAATCCCCAGCGCAAGATCAGCAGTTTCACCCCGCATTATCTTCATCATTGTTGCCTTCCTCGGCCTTGCAGAGAAAGTCACATGCTGGTCCGGATGGTCTTATCATCCTGTATCCCCTCCCAACGGGTCCTAGGGACTGCTATAGGGGATACTTCGCCAAATCATAACCTCAATTGCTTCCGGCTACCTAACTTCGCACCTCAACCGGCGGCTAAGAAAACAAATTCGTGTGATGGCTACGAGTGACCACAGGTCTGCCGTACTTGCCGAAGTAGCCCAAAATCCCAAACCGTAAGCTCTCAAGGCCGCTTCTTCCTTTTCTGTCTCTGCCCAGGTACAGATCACCAGGCAGCCAGTGATACTTGAGTGAGATGCACATGCATCACTAGACCTGAAATAAACACTCCTCAGAACACGCCATGATGACACAGAGTCTGGTGTAGGATTCAGGGTCCATGAACCTACATTCTTTTGATAACGTGTCCTGATGGTACCCAGTCTGTTTTGCACAGAGCTGCTGTTTCACTCCAAGGCGGGTGTGACATGACACGGCAGCAGTTTCCAGATCGAGGTTGTTCGAGAATTACGTCTTACTTAAACTTAAACCCTAAACCCCTAAACCCTAAAACCCTCAGCTTGAACTTAGAAGAACCTCGAGATGACGCCGGCTGCGGTATGATGCAATCAATTTCCGAGACGAGAAATCCGGAGGCGGCAAAGGTGAGATGAAGGTAGGTGGGTAATCCCAAAATTAGAGTCCTAATATAAGGGATCCTTAATCCTACCTACCTTCATCCCACCGTTTGAGGTCTCCAAGTAACGTCAAGATCGCTTTTGCAGCTTCCTCTTGGAAGAAAAAGCTGTGAGGGGAACGTGGGCGCGAGAGGTTCCAGGATCCCATCTTTTGATATAATATGATCCTTATGGATAAGTATAACTAAATTATCAAGCTAGTTAAATTAGGTTTTAGGGTGAGGATGCTTGTCAAAGCTACACCAAGATACACAAAAACTGCTGCTCCTCTCTCAGGGTCGTTTTGTTTTGTGCGTGTGTTCTTCTTGAGGGTCGGGAAGCGCTCGGGGCAGAGTCTGGCCCCTAAACCCCACACCCCAAACCGAAGGCTTTGAATCCTAAACCCTAACCCAAAGGGTCCAAGTACTAGTATAGCATACACTTTGGGGGCCCAAAAACCTACTAAGTACCTACTATAATGGTACTTGGACCCTTTGGGTAAACCATAAATCCTAAACCCTAACCCCGCGAAGACTTAGGCAGGGACGAGCCT